CATAAACAGAACTGGCCTTTGACTTTTGCATAACTTACCATTAATACTTTTATTTGAATTCTGTAAAATCATAACATTTAGATTCAGAAATTATGTTTTTTTGTAGAGATTTTTATCAAATTGATTTAACTATCTCTTAAATCAGCTTATAACACTGTAATGCACTTTAGAAGTCCTAGTATAATCAAATATATTAATGAGAACTGTTAGAAACAATTCTTGCTTACCACATTTCCCGCCCGTCAAATCCACATAAAACAAAGAAGACCTGCAAGAGAGAACAGAAACGTAACATTTATTTGTGATGGAAATTATTTGAACTAAAAAAAACTTCAATGCATATTTAGTATGCTACAGTCCAAATGTCTTAAGATGGAACTTTATTTTTTTAAGCACCTCCGATTGGGGCAGTACTTCAGGCCTAATCTGAAAGGCTCATGCCACCAGCCGACAAACACCACACCTGTGTCACCTGGGGCCCAAAATGCCTGGAGAATAGAGGAAAGATCCCCAAAAACAAAAGACACATTAGGATAACAGAAACTTTAAAGCAAAGCTGAAATTATTGCAGTGTAGAGCAAACCTGTCCAGGTGAGATGCTGTCAGGCACTCCTTCCAGGACAGACACATTGTCCCCTTCTATGTCTAAAACACACAGCACTGGACAGCTCTTGCTAACTAATGCCTCCCCCCAGTCCTCATGGTAGACAAACTGCTCCCCCTGCAGGATTAAATGGACACAGACACTATAATGTAGCATAATGCAATGTGATGGAAAGAGATCAAATCAGCTTTTGACAACAATCTACTGCGTTCACTTTAACCGTGTCTTTTTTCTCCGTCCTCAAGGTCAGCTCCTCATCTTCAATGGAAGACAAGTCCGGCAGCTCCGACTGTAAAGAGAAAATAAGAAATGGAGTGGAAAGTTGTTAGCCACTCAATCTAAAATATTTTAATCATCTCAGGAGTTTCTTTTCCTCTAAAAACATGCTTCACTGATTTCACTGATGTCATGGAATGTTGAGTTTGAAAGACAATGGAAAATAGCTCAGGTTCATTCATTGTGAAAGCACGTAAAGAGTGAACCAGTTTGCTGTGTTTTCTTTTTCTGATTGAGAGATGGTGTTATCTTAAAGAAATGAAACAACTTCTGGCATGTTTATTTTAGCTGCTGAGGGCACTTAAGTAGTGATTATTCTCTGACTTTTTAAGGACATGCACTTCATTCGCTTGTTGAAATAAAATGGAACTATTTAGATAACATTATATGCCACTAATTGTGAACAAAAAAGGTTGATAAAGAAACAGCTGCGTCATATCTCAGGTTTACAATGCATACTAAAGTGGAAAATCTTTCTGAAAACAAAAATCTACTTTCATTTCTTTCTGCAACTCACCTGGAAGAAAGATTTGGCCTCAGGACGCTTTTTCTCTGCAACATACAGGAGGTGGGTTTCTGAGTGCGACCAAACCAGGCTGCCAAATTGCTCTGAAGAGGCATAGAAAACAAAACAATAAAAGTCAGAAGTTACAGCAAACTATTAAACCAAATGTGCTGGTTTATATGTTCTTCCTGGAGATGATTTACCATCCTCATAGACTTTGCCATGTTTCTTCAAGGCTGTTAGATTGATGCTCTTCACCTTGATGTTTTTACTCCAGATCTAAAAAAGGGTAACATAAACAGTTTTTAAGATTTTAATTGTAAGATCACTCGTGAATAATTCCTGAACAAAGAAAAGTACACTGCAGCTTAATAGCTGGGACTCCCTTCAAGTAATATTTATAAATTATTACTTGGAAAACGTCTAGTTTAAGAAAAAAAACACCATTCAGCATTGTTGAAATCAGACACTACTTCTAAGTAAGTTCAATCTCATAAATAACTTTTTTTTTTGGTTAACTTCATTGAAATCTGACATTTTGCTACAACCCTGGAGATTATTAATCTGAGGTTCACTGGGTGCACTTTTGGAGAGTTTTCTCTTTAGTTATTTTGTTTCCATCATTTTTGGAATTTACTTTAAATGCTTAGTACACTAGTTTTCACTAGATGTGGATGGCGCCAATTGTCTGCATTGGATGGCGCACATGACGTGAAATAAATATTTATAAACATTAAACCGAAGCCAAGAGTAACGAGTAGCATTTTAAAAATGTAAGGAATAGAAAGTACAGATACTTGTTTGAAAATGTAATGAGTAGAAGTCAGAAGTAGGAAGAAAAATCGGTAATGGAGTAAAGTATAGATACCTAAAAAGTGTACTTAAGTACAGTAACGAAGTATTTGTACTTTGTTACTTGACACCTCTGATCCAGGGTGGAAATTAATTACAAATGTGAACAGTTGTGATTAGTGGATACAGCTTCTGTTTGATATATATGCATTTTAACCTCTGAATAATTCACCACACACCTCCAGAAACTGCTTCTCCTCTCCTTTAATGGAGCATTCTCTGATTACTGCCTTCATTTCACCAGAGGGAGAGTCTTTACTCAAAACTCTGCAGAGAAGCAAACAAAAAGACACAGCTTTAGTTTCCTAACATTATGACTCAAATTAACTAATATTTATAATTTAAATAAAACAGCTATTGACATACTCTCCTTTGATTTCAGTGCAGTTTCCAGATGCTCCAGAGTAGACCACCGACTTGTCATCATGGAAAACAATGTATTGCCTGCAGAACCTGACACTTTCATTCCTCTCCAGGTCACGCTGGCTCCACTCTACAAAGACAAGTAATCATGCATACTGTGATTAAGATGATCATACAGAAATGGAAACATTTTGGAGTGACTCGTATTGGATGTACCTGTGTATATGTTACTGTATTTGCCTCCATACTGGGAGGTAATAACAGGTCCAATGTCTGCTCTGCTTAAAGAGGGAAAGAGGCTGAGCTCTCTGTAGAGTTTGGCGATTTCATTCGGGTTGGTGATCATCTGACAGACAAAAGAAGAACAACATCGCCTTAGTGAAACCAAATGTTTGACTGCGAACAATGCCCGATTCATTTCAAAGCTAGGTAGCTAGCCTCCAATGAAAAAGTTAGAAAATAAATATTTGGCCGACTTGTTGCGTCAAACATCAGATGTGCATTAAAATATAAGGATCCATCAGAGAATGGATCATTCTGAAGAGATTTAACAGCTCGGTCCAGATGACAGGGAACTTCCTGCTGGAACTGGCAGCAAACTACGGAACCTGGATCTGCCAGCTTGCTTTGCCGTAAAGCAGAATATTTGGTCGATATCGAATCTCTTATATTGTTCGACATAATCGTTTTATAAATAATAAAGATCAATGGTCATTTAATAATCTTAAAAATCCTACCTGTGACTCCATAGCAGGAACGGTCAATGGGTCGGTAACAACTGTTCAATTGACCACACAATGAAGGGAGGACTTCATATAGAAAAAAGGGGAGTAGAAGTTAACGTTGATGCAGCTGCCATATTGTGAGTGGCGTGTTTTGCTGTTGTCTTCTTATTCGTTGTAAGATTGGCGCCACCTACTGTACATGAGTGTGTAGCTCTATAGTTCCACCTACTATATTCTATTTTTTGTGTTCTGTAAAAAAAAAAAAAAAAAATGCTTTATTAATAACCAGATTTTCCTCCCTATCTCTATCTGTCCCTAAAATCCCTTTAATACTCCATTGTCTCCCTTTTTCTACAATCACTTTCCTCATCCTCTCTTTTTCAGTTGCATATTTAATGCAACCCATCAAAACATGATCCACAGTTTCTTTTCTTTCACAACCCTCACATTAATCAATATTTCTCTTCTCTAATACAAACAAAAACTCATTCAAGTAGTAATGTCCAGTTCTTAATCTAGTATAAGTTATCTCCTCCCTTCTGCTTCTTTCTCCATAATTTTTAACAATTTCAGATTTTTGAACCCTATATATTCTTTGTCCGCTCTCATCTTCATCCCATATTTTTGCCACAATTCTGTTTCTTTCTTTTTAATTATTGATTTACCTTCCCCTTTCCCAAATGGAATCTGATCTATATAAATTATATTCATCAAAAATCCTTCATCTTATATTTTTATTAATGTATTCTCTTTCAGTATTGTCTTGGAATTATTATTTTAAAGAACAATAAACTGTATAATAGTTTTGGGTAGTATTAGTATTAGTTTTACTTTTGTGGGTATAACCGGCGACATAACTTCCTCCTTCACCACATAGTTCATTACTGCAATGGAGAAAGGTGGATTGATGTGGGCAGGATGATTTTATTTGGTGCTGAACAATTTTGTTTCACTCTTTGCAGAATAAACACACCATTTATTGGCTGACTTGGAACGACTGAACGGTTCATCATTACACAACGCAGGGGCTGGTTATATACACACACATATATATATATATATATATATATATATATATATATATATATATATATATATATATATATATATATTTATATATTATATATATATATGTATATATCCATTCCCACCATAGAAATGACTGTATGTTACTATATCTAAAACGGTTGACCGGTTTTAGTCAAACTGGGCCTCTTCTTTCATTTTGAAACCTGCTTAATGTCAGGTAGCTTTACTGCGAATTTGCCACTCACAATATGGCGGACACGCTCACGTATATTGCTACTGCCCAAAAGTAATGCAGCATCTACTTTTCTACCTCTATGGCTCTATAACGTAAAGGTAGCTGAATCAATAGTTCAAGCATCCGGTTTCCAAAATAATACAGAAAAGAAAGACAAACACTTCTTTTGGCAACATATATTATGATTTTGCATTGCCCCTTAATTATTAATATATATAATACAAAAGTGCAAATAAGAATGCCGTTTCCAGTTGGGAAGGTTTAGTTAAAGTGGTACATCGTTTTTCCTTTTATTTTGTAGATGTAAACAGGAAAACAAACGATTTAAAATAAAGTTCTTGGAGGTAAACTTCTTTTTCAAGTTGTTGGCTAAAGGTTGTTCTTAGCTGCTTTTGATATAGTAGAAAGGGAAGCATAGGTTTTTGCATAAACGATTTTTAAATATTGGAGTTCTCTTTTGTGTGAGTGAGAGCCCCTGCAGTGGAAGTGTCCGTCAGCTGGGAAAGGTGGGGTCATATTACAGGAAGCCAAGATGGCTGACTTTGAGGAGCCACTGTCAGATGAAGAGAAGGTTTGGTTACAAATTCTTTGTTTACTGCCCATTTATTTTAAATATATTTTTGAATGACTTTCCAGGTTTATATACTCTCAGTGCCTCGAACGGAAAAGATAATGCCAGTGTTCAAATACTTGCGAAAAACGCAAACTTGTGTTTGAAGCTACCATGAGCTAACTAGGCTATGCTAGTGACGCTTGGCTAGCTGCGGTATCAAATGTTATTGGGGAGGTGGGAGGTGTTAACCAGTCCGACGCCCTGTTCTGGACAACTGTTAGTAAATTTATTGAAGCATTTAAGCGTATTTCCTGAATCTGCATTAACGTTTCCTGCTAAATTAGTCATTGGTCGCAGGTTCTTCCCTAACAAAAATAACAGTTGGCTAACATTAGCAGCTAATGTTACTTCACAGATTTGTGGGTCAAACAGATTCAGTTGCAGCTAAAATATGTCACTCATTCGAAATGCCTTCAGCTTAGGGAGAACTTTATATCAACTTTGATTATTACTAAGTTTATTTGAGGATGTAATGCAAATGTAAACTGCCATTTCTGCCCCGTAGTTTAATCTAGATATATAACGAAGCAGTGTGTGACTTCTATAAAAGGAAAGAGACTAGCCAGGTGACATTCCTCTGATAACAGAAAAGTATCACACAGGTCTGTTGACCTGCTAAACAGGGTCAGGTGACTCGTTTGAATCTACATCCAACCTCTGTTTTACAAAGTTACAACCTATAGCAAGTTGCTTGGTTTCCCATAAATACTAGGACTGGGAGAAACAACCAAAACTTGATATATTTCCTAATTTCTCGCAATGTATATATGGATATAGATAAACTAAAGCCTCAGGAAGACTGCCAAGAATGTCCACAACAGATACTTGTACTTGCCTATACTTATGATGTTTATACATACGTAAAGTTTTTGCTGTGTTTATAACTGTGTGCAGTAGGAGCCCCAGAGTACAATCAGTGCTCTAAAGCTTAAATTGCTTGATATTTAAAATGTGATTTCACCTTACTGGTCGCTTTAAGCGGCTATACGGCTTTACAATACACAAAACTGGGTTTACTCACTTTTTTATTTTTATTTATCTATTTTTTTAGAAACTGAAAGCCCGATATTTGCCTCAGCTTTCATGAATGCAAAAGCGGAAATGTTCAAACAAAGCAGAAAATTAAAAATATCTTAATAAAGTTTACAAACTAGAATAGTTTATCATTATCTCATGTAATATGTTTTTAGCAGATGCTTTTAGTTCATTATATGTGTTTGTTTATTCTGAAGTGTATAGTTTTAAGGATGAGATGCAATTTATTTGTTTCTTTTTTTTTTTAACTACTGCAGGTCCGCATAGCGGCAAACTTTGTGACTCATGCTCCACCCGGAGAGTTCAATGAAGTCTTCAATGGTAAGAAGTTGGAATGTCCTTCATATATCTTTCTCTTCCTGGCAATGATCTTACACAGCTGAATTGAGAGTTTTTCTTATTTTCCTCCAACGTTATCATTTCTACTATACAAGCACAGTTGAGTCCAATATTACTCTTAGTCTCAGCTTTTGTAAAGCTTTTTTTCTGGAGTTCTTAAAATAGCATATTTTTCTTTTATTTTAATGCTGCTATTGCTTTTTGGATGTTTTTTTTCTGTTGTTTTTTATTTTTATTTTTTTGCCCTCTCAAAATCATAACATCAGTTTCTGTTTGTCTTTCTAGATGTTCGACTTCTTCTCAATAATGACAACCTCCTCAGAGAGGGGGCTTCCCAGTAAGTAGTATTTACTTAACATCAGAAATGGAAACATTTATAATTTCGATTTTTAAATTGACATATTTAGCAAACGCAATGTATGTGCTAATATAAATGTGTTATTTGTAAGCAAGTAAGTAGAAAACATATTCTTAAATACTCTTATTCTTTGAAAGCCTTCAGAGACCATTAAAGGCAGTTACCAGGTCGGGCTTTTATGACCTGAAGAATATCTCCAGGGTTAAAGGACTAATGTCTAAGCAGGAGCTAGAAAAGCTTATTAATGCATTTACTCTTAGTAGCATTGACTACGTTAACAGCGTCACTAGAACTAAGGAAGTAGAGCACATCAGCCCTGTTAGAGCAGTTCTACAGCCCGTAGAATTGCCTTTGATTGTTGAAGTTAACTGAGATATCATTAGTTCAAGGTTGAGATCCAACTGTTTTTTTTTTTACTACCTGCTTTTATATTTATTTGCTTTCATTGTGATTTTATTTTTCTTCTATTTATTGTTAAATTCATGTAAAGCACTTACATTGGATTTGTATTGAATTGTGCTATAGAAATAAACCTGCCTTGCCATGAAAGTTAGCATTTTTAAAGTCTGCATTGTTCTTGTTTAAACCCTATTTTGCCAGGTCCTTTGCTCAGTACAACATGGATCAGTTTACTCCTGCCAAAATCGAAGGATATGAAGACATGGTATTTATTTACTTTTCTCTCAGACAAAAAACAAAAAGGAAAAAGTTACAGTAACAGCTTCTACAGTATTCTTTCACTTATGTTTGTTTTTTTAGGTCCTGATAACAGAGCATGGTGATTTGGGTCAGGGGCGATTCCTGGACCCACGTAACCGTTTATCGTTCCGCTTCGATCACTTGAGGAAAGAGGTCAGTGATGTGCAGCCCCATGATGGAGAGGGGGCCCTGCGAAGCTGGAGAGATGCCTGTGACACTGCCCTTAGTGCCTACGTCAAAGAGCACTACCCTACAGGAGTCTGTACGGTATGTTACACTTAAATATTGGCTGGTTAAAATCAACATCCTCTTTTATTCTTACAGTCTATATTTCACAGGTGTATGAGAAAACAGTTGATGGTCAGCAGACAATTATAGCCTGCATTGAAGGACATCAGTTTCAACCCAAAAATTTCTGGTAAGTTCTTCCTCCGTACCTGAAGAATCGTTGATCTGTAACGATAAACTGCCAAATGAAGCTTTAGAGGTTTTGGTTACTGCAAGTGTCTCTGTGCTTGTCTGTATAGTAAGGCTTGCTTTGCTTTCTCCAACAAAGGAACGGCCGCTGCAGGTCAGAGTGGAAGCTCACTCTTGGTCAGTCCTCTGCTCATGTGGTTGGAGTTTTGAAAATCCAGGTTAGTGTGGAAATCTAACTCTAGGTATGTGCTGCTTGAATTGTACACGATTTGGAGCGTTTTCTTTACATTAATTTCAATGCTGTAAAAACTGCAAACATTCACAGACTGATTGAGAGACAAGATTTTTTTTTCACTCTGAGTTTATAGTAGAATATTAAAATATATGATGAAGTTTTTACCTAAGATGATGCAGAACGCTACTGTACATATTTATGCTGCTCTCCCACCTAATTCAGGCTGTTATCAGTAATGTCGTAAGTTTGACTCTTAACTCAGGGTAAGACTTGACCTCCCATCCACTATGGTGTAAAATGTTTAGCAGGATACTTAAAAAAACAAGGAAAGCAACAGTCAAACTGAAAAACGGCTCTTGTGGTAGCTCATATTTTAAAATCTTATTAAACTTGATCATTTTAAAGACAAGGAACAGATCACTATCCCAGATCGTACCAAGATCTTATGGTTTCCAACCCTGGCCCACAGGGCCCACTGTTCTGAGGGTTTTCCATGTGTTTCTGATGACTCAGAGGATTATACTACCCATTTCTGCAGGCCTTAAAGCTCTACAGAGTTTTTAAAGACCCATTCATTCATATCAGATGTTTAGTGACAAGGAAACTGCTAAAACAAGATCTAGAGCTGGCCCTGAACAGGGTAGGTAGGGAACAACGGCCCTGTGCCACATGGTGTTGCTTTACTGGTTGTACAAAGCTGAAGATATAATCTATGGACAGATGATCACTATTTTTTGCCTGTTGGTCACGTGACTCTGCCTCACACGGTACATGCTCCATCTTTGTTATACCCTACAGCGGGCTGGTATCACAACAAATCCCATGATGCTTTGCGAGGAGCGGTCTCGCAAAGCATTCCTGGGTATATCTGTTTGTCTAGTGACCGTGGATGATCACTACTTTTCAAGATGCATTGGAATGTTGTTAACCTTCTGAACTCTTGTCTAATAAAGTATTTTATCTTTGTCAAGGTGCATTACTATGAAGATGGGAATGTCCAACTGGTTAGTCATAAGGAGGTTGAAGACTCAGTTGTGGTGACTGTAAGTAAATATTCAGTTTTATGTGCAGCAGAACCTGTAAACACTTCAGGATACAGTAAGGATCATTTTATGTTTCATTTTGCAGAATGAAAGTCAAACCGCAAAGGAATTTGTTGAAATAATTAGGAATGCTGAAAATGAATACCAGGTACGCATCCATTTTCATTTCTTTGCAACTCCCCACACACATTTTCAGATTTTTGTATGAAAAGCATCTTAATGGATAACTTGTTTTCCCCCCCTAAGACTGCAATCAATGAAAACTACCAGACTATGTCTGACACGACCTTCAAGGCTCTGCGTCGCCAACTGCCTGTAACGCGCACCAAGATCGACTGGAATAAGATCCTAAGTTACAAAATTGGCAAGGAGATGCAGAATGCCTAGTGGAGGAAGGTCGGGGACTGACCAGGATGATGCACACTCCCATGGGCCCACAACCCATCTATATATGCGCAAGGACTAACCAAAGCATAACTATATTAATGTGGGGAAGGAAGTAAAGTAAAATGTAACTCAATGTTAGCGGGCTGCTGTCACAGATGGGTCTGCTGTAAGGAAGGTGCAGGTATTATGAAAATAATGTTTTGGAGAAAAGGTTTTACTTTTGAATATGTGTTGGGACAGTGTGCAGGGCTGTGCTCAGGACTGCTTCATTAAAAAAACAACAAAATGTTTAAGAAATCATGTAACTGTGTACCTTCAGGTTAAAACAAGGGTTTTGGTGAAACTAATCCAGAGTCACTGCTCTCAGCACACAGGGCACAAAGCAGCTGTTGACAGAAACCAAGCACACAATCTCATATCAGGGTTTGACTTACGTGGGAAATTAATTTTCCAAAAGGTTTTTTTTTTTTTTTTTCAGTCATTGTTTACTTTGCATGGTTGGACTGAAAATCAGCTTCAGTATTGGAATTTTAATATGGCCAGAAAAGGAAATTAGGTAAGGGTAAGTTACACACAACAGACAGAAGGTTAATAGTATTGCTCATCTGTAATACATAATCCAAACACAGTTCAAAGCATTTAAATGTTAAGTAAAGCCTAACACAGCCCTGTTGTACAAGTGTTCTAGCAGCTGTATGTTTTTCTGTCAGATCCGAGGGAATGTTCACCATCTCTGCTGAGCTCCGCTAATGCTTTATCTCTCCATTCATGCAAGTTTTGGCGACAGAATTAAGATAAAAAAATCTGCTGCATCCATTTTACATCCTCTGTTCACTTTTTGGTATCAACTTTGCTGTAAATGGTTTTCCTTTTTTTGCAAAGGAAAGCATGGTCATATTAACCAAAATTTATTTGCCAAAATCTCTTTCCTATGGTAAAGAACTCCATCTCCCTGCTCACATGTTTAAAATTTCTATTTTACTATACTGTCTTTTTTTTGCTGGAGTCTTAGCACATTGCACTCATAATTGTTCAAACTGTATAAGTCGATGCCAAGTGAATGCAAAGACGTCGCCATGTGGCAAGATGATATACTGTAAATGTAGCGTGACTCCTACCAAACACCTGTTCTACATGTCTTATGAGTAGGCTGACTCTTGATTAGTTACTTGTTAGCCACGCGATGTGCTGTGTTCGAACGCCATTATATAAGAGTGTGCTGATGAGTTATAAAGGTATAGACTGTACTGCCCCATCCTGTTCAAATAAACTGACTTACAATCCAATGTTGTGTGATAAAGCATGGCTTTGATTTGATCATTTTACATTTTAATAGCCCATTGAAGTAAAAGATAAGCTTATTCAGCTTTGCGTGTATTGAGTTCAATTGCATGATGGCTACTTGAGTAAACACTATATTATAGCTTGTTTTTTTGTTTTTAGCAAAAATAGATCACCCTTGAGTCTGAGCTAGAGTTTGATTCTAGGGACCTCTAAACTGGATGTCACCATGAATATAGGAGGTAAGGACTACTGTCACAATGTCTTCAGAGTTTTAGTTCACATTTGACACTATTGATTTAAGATCAAATCCAAAAAGGAGTATTTCATAAAATATATATATTTCCAAGAGACCCTTTAAACTAATAATATGATTAAAGCCCATTTTGTAATAGCTTAGTGTCATTCTCCCCCATACTCCCATCCTGGATGAAGTTAAAAACAGGGATTAAAAATTATATTCCAATGACTAAACACTAAAAATAAACTTGACAGATTAAACCAAGTCGTCTTTATAAAAGTTTCAAGACCGATCGTTTTTATTAGTTTCACAGCCTATAGGAGACATGGACCTAGGGTTGGTTGTGCGTTTTCAGCAATAAATGCGGAGAATGTTAATTATGAGCATTTACTAGTGAGAGTTGAGAAGGGCAGGTTGAACATGTACAGTTTAATATAAATTGGCAAAACAGGTGTTTTACTTTATTTTTTTTTGATAGGTTAAGACAAAAAATGGTAAGAGAAACAGAAATAAGTGCAGAGCATCGCACATATTGCGACAATAATAAAAAAAACATTTACAGTATAAATTTTCAAAATTGTGTTAAAAACTAACAACTACTAAAATATTTACCGTGAAACCTCACAAAGCATCATCTTCCGTTTGTGTAGAGTAGAGTTCAAGATTCCCTGGATATACAGGGTTGATATAAAAATGTGTTGATGTGAGGACAGAACAATGCAGTGCAAAATAGGCTCAGAACAAGCCTAAATGTCTCCATGACAATGAAAATAAAACAAAAAAATAACAATACATGCATCTGAAGATCATTCATAGCAAAACTTTGACATATTTACAATACAAAACTGTGGTCCGTCTCCATAAAATTTGCATAGGGACTCACAAGAACATAAAAAAAATATTTTTCATGTAAATTTCTAATAGCTACAACTTGATCTGCTCCCTTAGCCAATAGATTAACGACTCCTTTTTTATTTCAGCTTCAACAATTAAATCCTTAAGTAAAAACAAACAAAAATAATGGCTTAATGCTTGACTCATAAATACTTAAAATTCTGTGATTTAGCTTTTACAGTAACTGCTGTGATAGGAATGGAAAAAAATAAAACAAATAAGCGAATTTCTTATATTCCTTAAAAAGTTTTACCCATTTTTTTCTCATGTTGTGCTTTTGAGGTAATAATAAAACAAAATATAAAAAAAAAAAAGTGTATTGTTTTGGGATTTAATGTGATAGACCAATGCAAAGTAAAGCATTATTGGGAAACAGATAAAGGGAAAATAGTTTAAAATGTTTTTACCAAAAGAATCTTAAAAGGTGTGGCTTTTATAAACGTGCTCACCCCTATTTCCTCTGATACTGGGGCTGGGGAATTGATTGCATTTGCAAAATAATCAAAATTTTACAAAACGCGGTTTAAAACTAGCAGAGGCACACAATTTTGGTAATATTACATTCAACAAGAGAAAGACAATGACTTTCTCCAGCCCTTTAGGTAATGCAACCACACAGAAGGGTAGATTAAGTTGCAGATAACAAGCATGCAAGTGGAAGTAAACAATATTCCACACGACAGTGAGCATAAAGTCATGCAACAATGAACATATATATGCTTCTGTTTAGTGCAGAGGAAAATCAGAATGAAATCATTTTGGTAGGAAAAAAAATCACAGTTGATTTTGGCAAAATTGCAAAGCATTATCTGAAACCATTGAGAAAATCCAGTAAATCCCTTTTTTCTAGAATTAGTTAACAGATTCAGCTTTGGTGTTTATTAGTCTCATAATAAATCCAGCTGTGTCAAAGGTCTCAGAGGTCTGTTAGAAAACATCAGGTAAGAAACAACATCGTGAAAACCACTGAACACAGCGGACAGGTCAGTGCTGTGAAGAAGTTTTACACACTGTTGCGTTATTATACAATATTTAAGGCTGTCAATATGTCGCTGGCCCATCCATCACTGAAACAATGCATAGAACTAGCCTCCACCTAAGTGACAGGCTGGTAACCAAGATGAAGACAGGACAAATATTAGTTATATAGTCCAGCAATCCAGCCTTTAGAGATAAGAGGGTAAAAAATAAAACAGTTATTGAAGGGCAAACGAGAAATTTGCCCGTCCATATATATAAGACAGAACAAGCATGTTCATGTCAGATTAGATGAAAACTGGAATAGGGAAGATGATGTAATTAAATTCAGAATCAAAATAGTTTATTGATGGAAAAGGGAAATTAAATGATAAGACGGATAGATTTAAAGACATAGCAATCTTAGAACAAAGTCCAGTTAGAGGCTGCAAAAAGCTTTAACCAAGGGTGGAGGTTTATCGTCCAGCAGGAAAGTGACCTTGAAGGTACAGTCAGCGCAACTATTGAAATGTTTTGTTAAACATTTATGCACTGGAATGGCCAAGTCAAAGCTCAAAAACTTGAGATCAAAATCTGAGGCAAAACTAGCTGTTTGACATTGATATCCATCTAATCTGACCGATCTTAGGCTATAAATAGGCTTGCAGGTTTATTTGCAGCACAAACAGGTTCTGAAACCGACTGACACTGTGGGAATAATGCACTAGTGCTACTTTGTGCCAGCCTATCAAACATTTCAGGAACAACCTTTAACATATTGAAGATTGTAGCTGAATTGAGACAAAATGTGAAAAAAGATTGGATGGTATGAATGCTTTTACAAGGCATTTTACCTTTACAGTAACAGGAATGCTAATTTAGAGTTTAAGAGGGATAGTTAACATCAGAAACTAAAGGAGCAGATTTTTTCAACAGTTTCTAAGAAGTGGACATTGGACCCTAGGATAAGACCAAGTCTGATTCCTTGGATGCCTCCTGCCCGCTGCTGCTGTGCCCACAGTTCCCAGTCAGTTCTGGAAAGAGGCTGGTCCGAGCAGAGTGATTAGGGGAACCTGGAGTTGGACTCATGCCGGGCCTTTTAGGTGGTATTGGAGGAGGATGGGTCTTCTCTGAACGAGGAGTAATGGGAGAGCGAAATACTGGAGATAATGGCCCTGAAGAAGGCGACCTTCCCCCTGTGGGAGATGCTGCCAGATTGCGGTAGTCTGTGCCAAATGGAGAGTTGTTAATCGTTGGCGACTTCGCTCCAGCCTGCTGGCTGGTAAAGCGGGACAGCACCTGAGTGACAGTGTTGCGGGCCAGCTGCTTCGCCGCGCTGTGTTCTGGTGGAGGAGGAGTGGAGGCGGTGGTTGGGGAGAGGTCTCTGGGGGAAAGGGGTCCACCGTGCTGCTGCTGATCCAGTTCGGCCTGACTCTGAAACTTGTGCCTTGCAGCCTGAAATCGTTGGTTGACTCCAGCCTGATAGGACTGAAGGAAGCCCGGGCTGCCCAGACGCTTGGCTAGAACCGGAGAGGAAACAGGGGAGGAGGAGAGGGAAGAGGAGGCAGTGCTAGAGGGAGACTGAGGATGAGGAAAGGGGTGAATAGGGGAATGCAGAAGTGCTCCACCTCCATTATCCACTCCATTTTCTGCTCCTTTCCCTTCATGTGCTAATGGATCTGTCTGTTTATGAGCCTGCAGACCATTGACCTTTGGCAGCGTAGCCGACTTTGGAGTGATCTTTCCATCTGGTTCAGTCTGAACAGAGATGGACACCATCTTACCCTGTGACTCCTTTACCTCAGTCACAGCCTCTTTTACCTCTGTTTTACATTCTTGGGGCTCAGCTAACCTTTTTCTAAGTTCTTTCACTTGTTTTTCAAGCTCCCTGCCCTTCTCCTCCTCTGCTTTTA